CTTTTTCTATAAGAGGGATTTCATTTTCTGTTTTTCTTCTATTGTTGTATTTTGTAATTTGTAGTTTGATTGTGTTGAAATATGTCTATGATCGTTTCCCCTTTTAATTACATAGAGAAGAGCGCTGTATGATATTAATATTGCCTGTTCTTTGTTCTTTCACAGAAATGGGTTCACTTTTATAATCATATCTTCATCAGAGATTCCGAAGAAAAACTATTGTTTATTCTTATCTTTATTATCCAGTTTAACATACACATTAAATTGTGTGTGTGTTCCAAATGTATACATCCTACATCATAAGAACAAGTAACACTGGACTGATCTCGAATACAGGATTGGAGTAAACATCAAGAAGTGCCCTGGTTATTTCCCTTTGTGGCTCAACGATCATGCAGATATCTTGAACTCCAGATCAGTGAGGTGTTTCTACGTCTTTTGGTAAAAGTTCTATCAGTTTATCATGACACACACACAGGCGGCCGATTAGTGAAGCTAGTAACATGATGCCACTCCATCAGCATTCATCTTGGTACAAGAACCGTTGCGATAAACGCGTCATACTTTAGGGACCGTGTCACTTGCTCACTAATGCTTCAGACAGTTGCAAATGTTTTAATCATCACGATATTCATATTCATAGATATTCATCACGAAATAGAGATGGCGATTTTTTATATCAAAATAAATTGGCAATGAGCTAAGCATTTCTTAAAAATTGTTGTATAAATATACAAATACTGTGATTATACACGGGTGAAAATGTGACGGAGCTAAGAAAATCCTCATTTCCGTCGCATTTTCAGTTTTATTTCATTCTGGTTTCTTATTCAGTTCTCTCCTGATGCGTCTTCAGCCAGTCTTCTACTTCTTCCAGCTATCAAAATATAATTTTATTGAGTACGTAGTATGTACATATTGACAAGTACTAATATGTGTACCAGTGTATTTACGTAATTCTATATTATCCTCTGTTTCACATTTCCATTCATCATACTAATCTATTACGCATATAAGCTTTAAATGACGCTGTGTCTACTCACGCTGTAGTCGAAAGGTCCCTGGCCGCCCTTGTACACTACGGTGCCTCTGTTAACGATATAAAGTCTCTCGGGAAGAGCAGCAAAACGCCTGTTCGCTGCGTTATCAAGTTTGTCTAGGAAAACCGGACAGTCTTGAGGCTCCATCTGCAACATCTGTTTCGCTGCTGCCTTCCGCTCTTCCATGTTCCTGTAAGATAACACGCTGGTATATACCTCGTTTAATTTGTCTTGGGATATGAAAGCATCTGGAGTTTAAAGGTAATATGGGTAATTTTCTATATTACGTCCGCATGACCGATATCGACGATTTTGGTATCGTTGGATTCCTCTCACTCTCCACATTGCAAATATATAGTTTTTATTGCGCGGCTAACCCCCGTTAGCGACAAACTTGGCCCGATAGCAGGGGAGGGCATGAAAGGTTCCAGGGAAAATGCGGGTTAAATAGCACTAATAATATAACGCACAGTGAAAATAACCATGGTTATTCACATAACTTTCCATTGCAGGGGGCTGCGCCCCCTGCGCCCCCCCTGGGGGGCTGCCGAGGAAACAAAACCTCCACCACGTATTCACGGCAGGCTAGAGCGTTACACAATCATCGTCGATGTCGGAGCAGGGGGCGTATTAACTCCTAAGATTCTCACTGAATCAGCATATTAACCTTATTATAGTCAGCATTGTATATAGAGACGATTGTAGTATAATCAGGATGAACACGGTGGCCCGCCCTCGTCGGCGGGTTTTGCGCCTTTTTCGATGTTACACCGATGGCCTCAAAGTCGAGTTTCCCTTCCTCTGGAATAACGACATTCGTATTCCTAACCGAAATAACCGTCGCGTTCAGAAGTCAGTCATAGTCGCCGCGATGGCCGAGTGTGGAGGGTGCTCGTACTCCGAGACGGATTTTCTGCGCGAGATTGCCACTAGCCAGGAAAAAATGCTAGATATGTGCTTCCGCCACGGCCTCCTTCGTCGTGAGAAAGATTGCGGTAGGTGCGGGCAGCCATCACGCCTGGACCTGAAGAAGAAAAGATTCAGGTGTGATAGGGCCGTGGCGGTCAGGAAGCAGAAGAGGCAGAGGTGTGACTGGTCTGCTTCGATGTTCGTGGGCTCTTTCTTTGCGCAATCTCGCCTCGATGTTGAGACCCTGCTGATCTTCGTGATCTTCTTCGTCCGGGAGAGGTTCACGTTCCGGCTCATGCGGCACGAGCTGGGCCTGAGCGCAGCGACCTTCACCGACTGGTCGAGTTTCTGCCTCCTTCACATTTTGCGGCAAAGGAGCACCCTCCCTAGTAATTAGCGGCATTAATAAATCAGGTTAGTCCCTTAAAAATCCTAGGTTATTGTAGGTTATCGGCTCCGCATCTAGTTCGTGTGCGCTCTATCCTGCCGTGAATACGTGGTGGAGGTTTTGTTTCCTCGGCGGGGGCTGGGGGGCGGCAGCCCCCTGCAATTGAAAGTCATGTGAATAACTTTGATTATTTTCACTGTGAGGTTAAATTATTAGGGTAATTTTCTATATTACGTCCGCCGCTCCGACATCGTCGCCCCCGCAATCGGGACCAAGTTTGTCGCTAACGGGGGGGGTTAGCGCGCAATTATCTATTTGCATTACATAGAGTGAGAGGAATCCAACGATACCAAAATCGTCGATATCGGTCATGCGGACGTAATATAGAAAATTACCGTAATATGCACAAAAAAAGGAACTGTAGTGGGAACTGAAACTTAAAGAACTAGAATATAGATAAAATCTTGACTATGACTGATCGGCCAACCAGACAAGCCTGTACCTAAGCTCCCAGCCCTTAAAGCTAGACTATTAGAAAAGGACTTACTTATGGTTAGCGACCTGAAAAACGTTTCCTTCGATGGCCCAGCCGTCGGTGGGATGCGCCTCCGAAATGTAGATCAAAATGAAGTCTGCCGCACTCGAGTATTCCGCTGTTATCTGACCGAGCGCAAGAAAATAATTCTGAACTGCCGTGATAAAGAATGCATGCATATATATATATATATATATATATATATATATATATATATATAATATATAATATATATATATTGGAGAGAGAGAGAGAGAAACATATATAAAGTAGAAAAATCCACATTGCACAATGGATTAAAACAGTTTCGAAATCCTCCTGGATTTCATCTTCAGATTTGAAGAGGAAGCGGAAAGGAGGGATTATAAAAGAGAGAAAGGAGAGGCAGGTAAGGACAGGTGAATGGAAGCTAAGGTAGATAAGACCAGGCCGATAACTAGATTTACAGTTGCAGTCAAAACTCTTGTAAAACATGTTTCGAATTCAGCTTTGAACATCCGCTTAATGCCACACTTTTTGTATAGGTTATGACAGATTCGAAGCTTCAATTCATTAAATGACTTCTGATCGTGACTCAACCTTCCAGTGGTAGAAGCATCGCCATTGTGTTGTATTCAAATGCATGATATATTTAAGTGAATACTAGCAACTTTCGTCAATAGGAATCTAGTCCACATCAGCTTGCTCTTTAATGCGACACTATGAGTGTGGGAGAGGAAGCGGCAACGATAATAATTTTACCACAATACGATTTTATCATTCATAGCCAATTTATCTGTATATCGAGCACTGTCCTCCTTTAGGAAAAAACGACCATGTAGTGATTAAACTAAAATACTGTCTATTACAAGAAAAAAACATCGTAAGCAAGAAAGGAAAAGTACAATTACAAGAGGTGATTATAGAAGCCTTAAAGATTTATTTGATAGCATTAACTGGGAAACACTTCTGGGCGTCGAGAACCTCGATGTTCAGTATTCAAAACTTTGTGAGACCTATAAAAAGGAGTGGAAAAAATTCATATCAAAATTCAAAATTGAAGCAAGAAATGGCCCAAAATGGTTCAATGACAAATGCAATGTACGTCAACCAAAACTCCTCTTTAACTATATATATAGTAAAACTAAGAGTAGAGTTAAAATTAGCGCCAACAAAGACAATAGCATTATTTATTCTAAGGAGGAAGAAATGTGTGAAATCCAAAAATAAATTTGTCAGTGTTTGTTCAGGATCCATACTTTGTTATGGTAAATGCCCATACAAACGCAAAGAACATCGAACATATCACCCTCAAAAAGAATGAAGTAAAAGACCTACTAAAAGATTACACAAGACCAAAGCAGAGGGACCAAATGAAATTTCTAACTGGGTTCACAGGGAATGTGCTGAAGAACTATGTACTCCTTTATTGTTATTCCAAAAATTAATTGAAACAAGGTAAACTACCAAAAAGTTGGAAACTCGCTATTGTTACACCCTTATACAAGAGCGGCGACAAACAAAACCCACTAAATTAAGGACCAGTTTCGTTAACTAGTGTAGTATGCAAGCTGCAAAAAAGGATAATAAGGAAACAATGAGCTGAAATACTTGAAAAACACGAAATGGTATAAAATAAGCAATTTGGTTTTAGAGAAGGAAGGTCATGTGTTACAAATCTCCCGTTTTTATGATAATCTGACATATTACAAGAAAGAGATGTTTGAGTGGATTGTGTGTACTTGGACTTTAAAAAGGTTCTTGATAAGGTGTCTCACAGACGACTACTATGGAAATTAGAGCACCTAGGTGGAGTGAAAGGGTAATTACTCGCACGGATGAAAGACAGATGACCACAGTAATTAGAGGAAAACATTCTACATGGCGACGAGTAACCAGCGGAGTGCCTCAAGGATCGGTATTGCGCCGATTATGTTCACTATTTTCGTCAATGATTTAGGGTAGTTATCTTGATACGATTGCAGATGACGCGAAGATATAAAAAGGATAACAGACGTCTCATGCCAATGCCTCCAAAGTGACATCGTTAACTTATTCACATTGAGTTGTAAATGGAAAATGGAATTCAATACCAATAAATGCCACGTAGTCTGGTTCGGAGGGTAAAGATCGCCCACTATTCCAATAT